CTTGTCATAAGAAGGCTTAGTAATAAGCTTTCCCATGGAACATGTTTGACATGCGATTCCTTGGATCGAACCTGTACTTCGGGTTAGTGGATGCTCGTGTGAAGATTTGAGGATACAGCGCATCGTTATTCATCCGAGATGTCCCAAACGATCATGCCAAAGTGTAATTTCGTGCTTGGTCCCAGTAGTAGAGCCGGCCACATAGTGGCATTCTATGGGGTGTATGGTCGTAGTATATAGACCACTCGGGATACGCTCCATCTTCTCTAGAATACGCTTCTGGCCATATTCGTAGAAAGTTATGCACAGAAATTCAACTTCGTTTTCTACATGGGTTTCAACGTGGTAATTGTTATCTCTAATGTCCTTGAAACTTAACAACATTCTTCCGGAATGTGGAGAATAGAGTGCCTCAACAATGGTCAAGATTGTACCATTAGAATAGAGTGCCTCAACCGTATCTTTTTATCAGGTTGGATGAGCCTGAGAGGGTTGTCAGAAGTGCATTCTTAGGTATAAAGTTAGTGAAATAGATGCGTTCACACAAAACTGTGTGTGTGGTTGCACTATATACAAGACAACTAACTTTCCCACTAGTCATACCTAGAATGTAAAATTAATTTGAATCGGTCACATGCATAAAAGTTCATAAAAACAAATATCAATTCAAAATAATTTCATTTATTCAGGGATGGTAATGAATTAAAACTTAATATCAAAATAAAAATAAAAATAAATTAAAAAATAAAACAAATCACCAACAAATAATCCAAACATAAAGAAAAAATTGTTCAAAAAACAAGAGGGGGGTTCGGCCACTAGGTGGAATTTGGCACTAATGTGCAATTTTAACTAACTAAAATTGTTTGTCTAAGATTCTAATCTTCCATAGGGGTGGTATCTTCCTGAAAATCAGAAACATTCATCTTTATAGTCTCCAAGTCGTCTACTTGCACAAAGTTTGATTCAAACTTCTTACGACGAGAATGATATTCATCTACAACCTTCTTGGGAGCTCTGCAAACATAGGACCAATGGTCATTTGAACCACAATGATATCATATATCCGCGTCCATGGTTTAAGGTGCTTTGCCCTTATTCTTAAAGGTCAGGGCCTTGGGAGTGAGGTTTGGGCGCTTCTGGGCTTTGTTTACTCCCTTGGATGGGCCTTGACTCTAGTGACCTTGGTGGGATGGCTTCTGGCCGCCCTTACCACGCCTCTTTTGGCATTTTGGGCTTTGGTTTGTGCTATAATGTGCTTCAGGCACAGCAGTCACCCCAGTAGGTCAAGCTTGATGATTCTTCATCAACAATTGGTTCTGCTTTTCAACGAGAAGTAAAACAGAGATCAAATCCGAGAACTTAGTGAACTTCTGAGCTTTATATTGTTGCTACAAGGCAATATTAAAAGCAGAGAAGGTCGAATAAGTCTTCTCCAGGAGATCCTCTTCAGTCAAAGTTTCATTACAAAACTTGAGAAGTGATCGGATTCGAAAAACTTCATAATTATATTCATTCACAGACTTAAAGTCTTGGAAGCACAAATGCTACCAGTCCTGTCTTGCTTCAGGCAAGAATAAGTCCTTTTGGTGATCAAAACGATCAGCCAAAGCGACCCATAGTGCACGTGGATCCTCTTCAGCAAAATATTCAGTTTGCAAAGCATCATGGATATGTTTACGGATGAAGATCATAGCAATGGCTTTTTTCATATTCACCAACAGGGTTGTCCGTCTCTTCTTCAATAGCGGGATGTAAGTTCTTGGTAGTGAGGTGGAGCTTGACATCTTGGACCCACTTGAGGTAGTTCCTTTCAGAGACCTCCAAAGAGGTGAAGTTGAGTTTGTTCAAATTCGACATGTTCTTATCATAACAGAGATGAAAAAATATGGTTAGTGTAGTGGAGAAAAAATCAATTCATTCACATAGGAGTAGAACATACAGGTTCTATTAGACATGTATTGGTTTCATTTTGCATGAAAAAACTTCGGGTTTTCATGGCTGATGTTTTTAAAGGAAAACTTCAGGTTTTCAAACAAGGCATGTTTATAAGAAACTTCAGGTTTCAAATTAATTATGAACTTCATGTTCATATATTCCTACAGGCAAACACAAATATATACAAAAATATGTAACAAGAATATGCAAAATATAACTTTTAGGTTTATGATTATAATTGAATTAATTATTTAGACTTCGGGCCAAATTAAAGTGTGGGTGAAAAAATATAAAACCCATTGGTTCTAAAATAATTAGGCAAATAAAACTCGGGGCCCAAAAGAAAAAATAAGCCCCCGGGTGGCTTAAAAAAAATTGGTCCGTGAGACCTAGGCTGAAAAAATTGGGTCGTGGGTCTTGAGTGGGACTGCAGGCTCAGGGGAGGATTGGGCAAGGGAATGGTCTGCTGCAGGCAAGTCCAAAGGTTTTTTAAAAAAAAAATTCAGTAGGCCACTTCAGGTGATCCCAAAAAACAACTTTTTTTTTTCACACACTAGCTGAGAGAAACAATTTAGGCCAGGGAAGCTCCAAAGTCCAATGGACTGGAGCAAGATGTCAGCAGAGGGCCAAGCCCTAGTGGCTTGGGGTTAGGTAAGTAGCCAAAAAGGAAAAAGTGAAACAAGTCGAGTAATAGAGCCTAATAGGGCTCGGGTTTTGGAACCAAACACCCCAGTGTGTGCTGGGTGTGTTTCACCGGAGAAGAACGCCTGACCTGTCGCTCTTGGCGGCAGTTCGGGGTTGGTTAGGACTCAAGTTGAGTCATGGTGGTCTTTGATGACCACGGTGGTGAACGGAGATGATGTAATCTCAACATTATACAAACCAAACCCTAGAAAATTTAAATCGGATTTTCGACAAAATTTCGACAAGATTCAAGTGAATCTCATTCCAATTTCTGACGTAGGACGAATTCTGGTCGTCGGAGACATGAACCAAAGGTTCAGGGTAGTGGCTGCAGGCCATGCCGTGGTTGATGTAGACGGGGACACCATGAAAGGTGTTAGGTTTTCTAGGTTTGAGAAGCTCGAAGCTTCTAGCTCCGTAGATCTCGGCTTGCCGTGGGAAGCCTGTCTTCATGGTGATGGTCACAGGTTCGAAAGAACCCTAGGTTTCCCCTTTTTTTTTTTCTATTCAATTCAATTATTTGCATATTCAAAACAATAATATGTTAATTTAATTCAATTTGATGCATATACAAATATATTTGATTCAATTCATAGTAAATAACAAATTCACATAATTTAATAATTATGAATATAATGCATACACAATTTATGTAGAATCTAAAATTTGAAAAACGTAAAGTTGAGTCATGCATTATGGTGAATGTTCATGCTATCAGGGCTGCAAAAATATCGAGATAAAAAATGTTGTTTTGAAAGAACCCGATTGCGTGATGATATGAATGAACTGGTTTGATGCAGAAATAAATTCTTCAACGTCAAATTCCTAAGCGCAGCGGTATGAGCATGCTGATGACGTGTTGTGGTCTATTTTATCTGACAATGAGAGTGAGGGCTGGCGACAAGGAGAAGAGAGAAAGAGAGAGATGTGTTTGTAGAATTGTAGGGGAATGTGTGTTGTTATCCCTCCTACATTGTGCCTTTATTTATAGTAGTAAAAGGAGAGAAGATATTCCTTCTTCCCCAAGTAATACAAGTTGTAATAGGAAATGATAACTGGAAACAAATCTAATCTAGGATTTACACAATCACACTTGAACTAGGATGTTTACAACAACAATGTGAGTATTGATGATTGAATTATTACTTAAATATTGATTAACGTGTTTAAACTAACACATTATTTAATTTGCAAATTTGATCTACATGGCATCTACAAAGCTCCTTTCCTATGTAATCATTACTGATAACTCTAGGTTCTTGAAGAAGCTGGGTAATATTACAAGTTAGGGTAGTTTGTAAATTTAGTTTCTAAATTTAATCTCCCATACATTACCCTATAAGTTATTCAATTTGGAAACTACAAGCACTTCATATTATTTCAACCTACCAAATTTCACCTACCAAATTTCGAATGTGAGTTGAGCTTCCCTTTTCCTTTTCGTAGTGGGGGATGACTTTTAAAATTGAAGTGTGGATTTAAAATTGGTCTCTTGCTTTTAGGATATATCTAAAAAATAATTTGATTATTGTATTTAAAAAGAAAATATAACAAACACTATTTTTCTCTCCCAGCACATTCTTACTTAAAATTATATTCATTGTTTGAGTATGATTCATTCTATTTATTGTTTTCGTATGATTTATTCTATTAGTATGATTCATTCTATTTAATTGGGAAAGCTTAATTTAGAAGACTTGCAGCTATTCCCTATCAGGTGTATGCATTGGTCAACTTCTCAGTTTCTAACCAAAAGTTTAATAAAGACAACTGAATATTAATCAGGATTTAACAAGCCACTTGTCATAGTTTTTTAAACTCACATCCTCCAAATTTGTCTAACAGTAGTGCGACTCACACACCTACTTTTATTTTTCACTCATTTTAATTTTCAATCGTTAAAAATTAATAAAGATATGTGAAGTAAAAATGTATAGCGAATAACATTATCCTTGTCTAATTATCTCACATCCCAGCGGTATACGTCTCGCGCTTCGCCAAAAACATGAGCCTCGGCCACCAGAAGAGGTTGAGAAGTCCCTTTTTCAATAATCTTATTTATTTTCTAATCATATAACCTTTAGCTGAAATTTTGTGAATAGTAGTGCCCTGTCTTCATTCTTTATTTATTTAAATTTAATTTTTTATATTTCACATCAATTGGTCATTAGAATAACGATTTTGGGAACTCTAATAACAAAAAGTCTTATACTGGGGCTAATCCTTTTTCTTGAAGACGCTAATTAAGTTTATGGTTTTGACCCTACACACAGCCTCTACCAAAATAAACCTCCAAAAAAAAAAAAAAAAAAGGATAAAGTTGGCTTCTTGGAAGCCACTCTAAGGAGGCTGTGAGCTTATTTAAACACCCTCTGGATAATATTCTGTTTCAAAAAAATCCTTCAGGGGTGAAGCCATCTCTTCAAAAAAATATTTCCCATATATTTTAAGTGAGTCTTTCTTTTTTCCTTGTTCATTTAATTGTTTTCTGCTATTATACAGATCCTAATTCTACATGTTATATTAGTTTTTAACGTGAGTTTTAATACATCTGTCTTCTATAAGTAGCTTCTGCTGTAGGTACCAAAAACTTGAAGAAAAAAAAAGGGCAGATATGGCAAAGTACAAGGTGGGAAATGAATTGGGTTGTGGTTTTATGGGTGGGATTTTCCAGTGCAGTAGCTACTGGCCTAGAAAATCATCTGTTCATTCACTACCCTCAAATACTAGCACAAATGATTTGAATGCACCAATCAGTGAATATTGTTCTTCAAAGTACAATGAATCCAAGAACCAACAATCCGAATCCACAGAGGGTAGTGCTACTGTAATTTCCTTGAATTCAGGTAAACCTTCTCCGAATTTGGACTCAAAACATGCCGGGAAGCCTAGCTTGAATCATCCAGGGCCTTCAGCTTGCCACCAAAAGGTTCAACCAAGAAGACATTCAGATGCTGCAAGAAGCTCAATTTTTTCATCCAATGGAGCAGGGCAAATTAAGGTGTCACAGCACCCTGACTTGGCTAAAGAGATGAAGCTACGAAGAGCGTTCACTGCTAGCTCTGCAGAGCTCAGTAGGAAGATCAGTGATCACCAGCAAGCCAATGAAACCGAAGCTCCAGTCCAAGCCACTTCAAGTAGTTTAATTTTTACAGGACAGTCTAGGAACTTGAGGAAGCCCGGCTTTACCAATCAGATAGCAAGCAATAGTCCCAGTGCCATTTCAACCAAGACTCTGGCTTATCATCCTAGAAACCTCGAAGACTCGAATTCCACACCTAGCCGAAAAAATGGCTTTGGAAAACTAGGAGGCAATGGTGAGATGGGCAACATTGTGAGGAGAAACAGCGATGACCCTGAGGTTTTGAAGTCCATGGGAAATGAGGCATATAAGGAGGGCAGATTCGAAGAAGCCTTGGGTTTGTATGATCGCGCAATTGCGTTGGATTCAAACAAGGCAGCCTACTATAGCAACAAAGCAGCAGCTTTGATTGGTTTAGGTCGTCTCATTGATGCGGTTTTCGAGTGCAAAGAAGCAATCCAAATTGAACCCTCTTACCACAAAGCTCATCATCGGTTGGCAACAACATATCTCAGGTAACATATTTTCCTACATGACAAAAATTCTCAGGTAACATATTTAATTCTTTTAAGACATTTGCTTACACAAGAACATTAATCTGTCATTTAGATTGGGAGAAGCAGAGAAAGCATTGGATCACTACAAGCACTCGGGTCCATACGCTTTCTCGAAAGATATTGACCAATGTCAGGCTCTTCAAAAATGCCTTAGCAGATGCACTGAAGCTCAGAAATTACAAGAGTGGAATGTTCTGTTAAACGAAACCCAACTGGCAATTTCCTCAGGTGCCAATTCAGCTCCACAGGTAATTAGCTTTTTTCTTTAGTCAACCCCTAGCTATGCCAAAAGTTAATTAATCTAATCTGTTAATCAGAATAATTAATCTAATGTTGTTTAATCATGGTTAGGTGTTTGCTTTACAAGCTGAGGCCTTGCTGAAGCTTCAAAGACATCAAGAAGCCTATGCCACCTACCAAAATCGACCCGGTTTTGGCACTGATATTTGCACCAAATTTTTTGGCGTGGCAAATAGTGCTTACCTGTTAATGATAGGAGCTCAGGTTTACTTGGCTGCTGGCAGGTTAGTTAGTTAATTAATTAATTAATTAGTACTAATTAATATAATATAGGATTTTAAATATGTCGTGTATTGCATCACAAGTTAGGTTGGTCCCTATAATTTATTTGCAGCCAACTTAAGTACACTTAGCATCCTGATCATTAGTAATTTAGTAGTAATTTATCTTAGGTCAGGTAAGATGTTATGTCAAGATTTTAACATCTTAGAGCTACGGGGTTGGCAGGTTTGAGGACGCCATAGGTGCAGCTCAAAATGCAGAACGGCTAAATCCATGTGACAAGAATGTCGGTATGGTGGTGAAGAGGGCTAGAGCTGTTGCGTCAGCCCGAGTAAGTGGTAACCTTCTCTTCAAGGTATCAAAGTTTTCGGAAGCGTGTGTGGTATATAGCCAAGGACTACAGCACGATCCACACAATTCTATTTTACTATGCAATCGAGCAGCTTGTCGTTCTAAGCTTGGTCAATTCGAAAAGGCCATTGAAGATTGCAATGCAGCACTTGATTTGCAGCCTTCTTATAGCAAGGCCAGGCTACGCCGTGCAGATTGCAACGCCAAGGTGAATTGTTATTACTTGAAAGCCAAGCACACTTTCTGCACAAAAAAATTGAGTCTGTAATAACCCTTTACTAATTAGTACACTTCTATTTCTCAGTTGGAAAGGTGGGGAGCTGCAATTCAAGATTATGAGATGCTGATACGGGAAACTCCTGGAGACGAGGAAGTTGGAAAGGCTCTGTTTGAAGCCAAGATCCAGCTTAAAAAACAACATGACGAAGATGTTGAAGACGCGAAATTAGGATCAAATTTGGTTCTTGTTACCAGCAATGAGCATTTTAGACACTTTGTGACATCCTCAGGTAGCTGAATATTCTTACGTATATTCCAACTGCTGAATGTTCTAATTTCTGCTTAAGTAGATTAGAAAGAAGTCAACAAAACTAACACTTTATTGTCTCAACAACAGGGATGTCTGTGGTGCTGTTTTGTAACAAAACTAAACAAAAGGAAGTGTTTCAAGCCCTGCGCCAAGTCTGCAAAAGATTCCCATCTGTCAATTTTCTCAAGGTTAGTTATTACTAAGATTATACGGTCAATAGGAAATATTCACAAACAGAACTTGTTGTAAACTTTTAATAAAAAGTAAAATGAGGGACACTAAACAAACAATAAGTTGTCTATAAATCACGGTTTAATGTAAAGGTGGGCATAGTCTAGTTTTGACCGGGACCAAAAATCGCACTGATGTCAGTATGAGATTTTCTCTGAACCGAAACCAAAACATCGACCCCACCAACCAACCCGGTCTACTTTTTGAATACAAGTTCCTAAACTTTGGTTCCCTTCCAATCTTACTTTTACTACAAGTTTGTTAACAGTACTGTTTCTACTTTTTCTTTTTTTTTTTTTTTTTAATTTTATGAAAGTTCTATTTCTACATATTTAATGAGATTATATTAGTATTGTTTTTTAACTTTCAGAGTAATTTTTTAAATTAGGTGGAGGTTGAAGACCACCCCTACTTGGCCAAAATGGAGGATGTGAGCACAATCCCAGCTTTCAAGATATACAAAAATGGATCAAGGGTCAAAGAAATTCCAGGCAAAAACCATGAATTATTAGAAAGCTCAGTCAAATTGTATAGCAGCTGATCGGGATAGTTAAATTAAACAGAAGATAAACAAAAATTATAGTTTATATAAGGTGACTGGCGGCAGAAACTTCACATCTTGCAAAAGAAGGCCACGTGAAAAAATTGATTGGGCCAATCATATCTGCTTGATAACTTTGCCTGCACCGCACATAAAGCGAAAAGGTTGGGATGAGAATCGGTGTGATCATAGATGAAATTTAGAATAAGGGAATTTGAGTGGCCTTGAATTTGTATACCTTCATGATTGTTTTTTTTTTTTTTTTTTTCCTTTCACTTTGGTTTTTGTTCTTCCATATGTTGCACACCAACATGTGCCCTGGTAAAAGTGAATTGTGGTTGATTAGAATTTAGAGGAAGTTTTAAATATTCATACTGTCTGTTAACTCTGTTATTTTTGTTATTTTCCTACAAGTGATAGTAGGTAGAGAAATCGAACAAGAACTTTATTATTTTGATGATTATATATATATTCATAGCAGAAAAATCGAAACTAGGACATCAGGTTGAAGGTGAAATGCACTTAATTAACCACTTGAGCTACAACTTCTTTTTCTTTGATAAGAGCTTAGGGAATTTATTTTATTTTTTTCTTTTTCACAAACAATATTATCTACACTAATGGGGTGGGGTGTGGGCTAAGTCTCACAATGGGCTAACAAATCGCCTTTGGCAAGATCGAATCTAAGACTTTTTACTTACAAGTGAAGAGGAATATCACTAAATTGTAGTACTAAGTGGTAGAGCTTAGGGAATGTTTGATGACCATTTCATTTTACATTTCACCTTTTATGTCACATCCCGGCCCGGGGCGGACCACTTCCCTGGCCCGTTCCACCACTGTAGCACGATATTGTCCTCTTTGGGCCCCGACCACGCCCTCACGGTTTTGTTTCTGGAAACTCACACGAGAACTTCCTGATGGGTCATTCATCCTGGGAGTGCTCTTGTGCACTACTCGCTTAACTTCGAAGTTCCCATGGAACCCGAAGCCAGTGAGCTCCCAAAAGACCTCGTGCTAGGTAGGGATGGGAATATACATATAAGGATCACTCCCCTGGCGCGACGTGGGATGTCACATTTTAAGACCAAACCTAACCTTGGGCTAAATGCTATTTTTTAGGTTTTATTCCCCTCCCCCCGCCCCACCCCCCCCCCCCCAAAACCGAACCCAACACGTGTGGACTAACAGCTAAAAACCAAACAAAAGTCAAATCCCCCCATGATTTAGCCCAGAAAATGGTGTCGGCACCATCAACGGAACCCCACCCACATGGGCATCTCTCCTAGGATTTATTAAATCCAACGACTGAGATCGAATATAATCAAATATAACGGTAAAAAAAAGATCTAATGGCCCAAATTTAAATTCAACAGCTAAAATAATTAAAAAAAATATTTAACTCAAAATTCACCCAAATTTAGTGATTTTTCAATATTTATCGGAATTTCAATATTTTTAAGTTAAAATGTTCAAAAATTAAATTATGATAGTTTACATAATTTTTTTTTAAATTACTTTAAAAAAATTAATCTAAATTTATTCTTTAATAATCTTAGGCTAAAAAATTTAGATCATAAGACTTGGAGCAAAAAAGCTACCTAAATTTTAGGTTTTAGCCCAAGAGTTGAAAATGGTCTAAGGACCTATTGATAACTATTTCATTTTTTTTCTTTTTCTTTAAACAAAAATTGAAAACTTGTCTCGTTAATACTTTCAGTTTTTTGTTTAAAAAAAAAATGAATAATGAAAACTTGTTTAGTAACAACTTTTAAATAAATCAACAGCTCCTATTAGCAATGATTGAACGACAAATTATGAATTGCCTGAATGATGTGTTGGGAGCTAAAAGTCCAATAGTTTGGCATAAGAGATATATCGTTGATGGTTGTTGATTTTGAAGTGGCGAATTAAGGTTTCTGCTGGGTTGGTAATTTTGAGGGAGAAGGGAGGCTTATGGAAAATATCAGAATAAAAGAAATGCTAAGGCTCAAATTAGGGTTTTACAGCACTTAGAGTTCACTTGCTCTGCTTGGTGCGTTATATGCCTTCCAAGCGCGCTAATGGCTTGAATTTATAGGCGCAGGAGTTCCTCAAAGTCCCAGCTAGAGAATCCTTGGTTTTCCTTCTTTTTCGTGTGTTGTTAAGCATTCCTTTCTTCTTTTTTTCCATTGTTGCAGCCACATAATGCCTCTTTTGATTTGTATTGTAGAGTGTTGGTAGCCTCGTGCGTTCTGCTCATAACCCCTCCTTTCGTGCACCAAATCTCATAGCAAAACTCAATCTTTGGCTACGCTCCTTCTCCATTTTCTCTCTTGGTTTCCTATGCGAGCTTAAATTGGTAAGTTTCTTCTTGCATGTTAAAACGAGGTGTAAGGTTCAAGGTTGGATTATGTCAACGCATGAATCTGGGGAAAGTGGGTTTTGAATATGGTTGGGTTTGAAGTCTTTTAGTTGGTTTGTAAGGAAAAAGTAAAAAATTATGTCTCACATCCTTCGTACGTGAAATTAAAATTGTGGGTTTGGACTTTCATGCTCTCAAGCAGCCCAAAACCTTCACAAGCTTTAAGTCCATATAGACCCAATGGACATTCATAACTTGTCTACACTACAACCCACTCGGCAAGTCCCATTATGTGGATTGGGCCCAGTTAAGCGTGTTTGGTGAAGAGTAACTTAGCGTGATTCGAATTAAAATGTTAATGTATTAATATTATAAACTTGTTTTGATATAGCCTGACATGATGAATACACATGGTTTTGTGTGGGTTTAGCGTAAATTTATTGACTGTTGACTGTCCGTATTATGAATTATCTTTTTTTTTTTTTTTTTTTTTTGGCATGGCATGATTGTGAATTTGCATACCCTTTGCACTTTGCGCTTGAATTTGAGTTTGGTTTGCTATGAAAATATAATGACTAGGCTTCCGAATATAATTAGGCTTTTAGGTGAAAATTTTGAGTCGTAACAGTGATTATAGTTGATCAATCATATGATTGCTCTTATACAACTGAAAAAATGTGTGTTCTTTGGAATATTTTATTTTGTCAAGGGTTTCACAAATGTGGTTCTTTGAAGAATGTAAAGTCCATGACACAATTAAATACAACTTCCGTTGTTGCACTACTGATTGCACCAAGTTAGGCTATGCCCTCCAATTGGGCTCGTGGTCCAACCGTTTCTTTGAATTTCACTTTTGGGTCTTCATTGCGATCTGGACCTGATACATAGAGATTTAGCCACAAATTTCGGCTTCGTCCCAATATAGGCAACATTTTGACTGAGTTTTATTTTGGGGGCTTATTGTACAAGTTAAAAACATGAAAAAAGTGGATAATGTGCATGCAGCAAGAGAGTTCAAATCTTCTGCACTCAAACTTTTCTTCAAACTTTTCTGTAGCTTCTTTGTGATCTATCTTATTTGTTAACACATGATCATTTATTAAAATATTAAAGATAAACTAAACAAAAATGACATGTGTCACTCAATGATACAAGTCACAAAAGATTTTGAGTGTAGGAGATTTGAACTCGTAGCAGGAGTGACAAAAATGTAATCATGTAGGTAAAATTTTATTAAGTTTGAAATCACTTATACCAAAGATGAGATCTAAGAGTAAATAACACCTGATAAATGGATAATACGCATTTGTGAAGATTGGCAAACAAGTAATCGTGAAGACAAATTTGGGGCAAATGGAAAACATGCATATAGAAAGATTGGAACAATTACATTATAGAATGCTTATCTATTAAGATATGACCTAGTTTTACTAAAGAAAAGGCCTATAAGGTAATAACAATTTTTTATTTTAAAAAAGAAAATACTAAGGGGAGGGGATAGGATTCAAAATTATTACACTACTTTAGGAGAGGGAGAGTTTCAAACCCAGAACGCATAGATAAAAACCCAACGCCTCATCCATTAGAATATTTGAGCACATGCAAATATAAGGTAATAACAATGAAACAAAAAACAATATGCATTTAGGAAGAGTGTTAAAAACGTAGCAATTGCGACAAACTGTAGGACAGATGGATAATATGCACGTAATCATCAAAAGATAACAATGTAGACAAACTTATTAATCACATTGTAAACCCATTTATGTTTAGATAGAACTTACTTGCATGCATAGAAAAAGTGACAAAATGACATCAATTCTCACTCTAAATGAGCAGTTAGGAATCCATTTGAAGATTATCTTTTTGTTCATACTATGTTTGGAGTTTTGGTAGATTGACCATACTCCACATGAGGAAGGTGCTGCTCTGAGAATCCCTCTACGGTTACTCAGAGTTGCTTGTTGATATGATATGTCATGTTTCTTGGTCCTACAATTCTGACTAAATCTCAGTCCTTTTTCTACTTGGAACATTCTCCTTGGTTCAACATTCACCTGTATGTCTAAACACACATACACACACACACACATGTTTTGCACTTAATTCCCTGGAAGTCTAAATTTTACAGTGCATGGATATTTGAGCTGATATATTTAACGGATACATTTTGACAATATTAATCTAGCCGTTTAAATTGGAGGCACTGCATTCCTGTTTGAGTGTTATTCTTATCCCCTTCTATTTGTGGAGTTACGGTTAAATCACGTTAATATTTTATATTTTTATTTTTTTTTGTTTTATTATCTCTATAAAAAAATCAATATAAAATGTTAATGTGACTTAACCATGATCGTACAAAATAGGAGAGGATGAGAAGGATATCCAAACAGGAGGGCAGACAACATGCCTCCGTTTAAATTGCAGTGTATCCCTGCACCAGCGTGTATTGAAATAAATAGCAGTTAACAGACAAATTAAAAATCACAAATAGTTTCTATTTCTAATTTCTGAAGCAAAAGATATACATGACGAAAATGTAAAATGCTGGCAAAACCCCTCTGCAGCAAAAAAGAAAGAGAAAAGCTGTACATGTACTAATCTAGAACAACAAGAATGACGCAAAAGTAATACTAAAGGAGCTTTGGATTGACCAGTTTCCCACTGAAAAATTCAGTGGACAAAACAGCTCGCAAAAAAAAATTAAAATAAAAAGCAAATCAAAGCAGGAAATTAAAAATTAAAATTAAAAAAAAAAAAAAAAAAAAAATCATCTCGTCCAACTTCGACTCCTGGAAATTGCTTCCTTCAATCCACCGACAACCCACGTCTCCTTTGCAATGTCTGAAGAAATGTTGTAGAAATCAGAATCATATGCCATCGCCACCAAGTGCTCCATCTTTTTTTTCTGCTTGTCTTCCTCCATTAAACTCCTCAGTGTAACTTTTGCTTTTTTCTCCTCTTTCTCCATTCCATCTTCTCCTTCTTTTTCTTCATCTTCGTCGTCGTCGTCGTCCTCCTCCTCCTC